GTTTCCACACTTTGGCAGGCACATGTGTTGGCTGGGCATCTTGTTAAATGCACCTCGGATTCAGTAGGTCTGAGTGGGGCCTGAGATGCGTTTCTAGCAAGTGCCCAAAGGATTCTGTGCTGCTGGTGCCTGGTCTGCTTTGAGGAGCGCGGCTCTGCAGAGTAGAACCCTTACAAGTGTGGTTGGCTCAGAGGCTCTTGGTGTTAAATTGCTATGTGGAATTCCTAGGACTTCAGGGCTGTGTTGATTTAGTTGTAGAAGAGTAACATGTAAAGATAAATATTTAATACAGGTTGGTCATTAAATAGGCTCTCACTGTGTGAGACAGTTAACTAACTATTGAATGAAAAAATAGGGAAGCATCCAGAATCCAAGGTAAGAGTAGCCTCCCCGCCTGCCCCTGGGGTTTTGCATTTAGCGTTGTCAGTGCACAGACTTACGACTGTGGGTTGGTGTTACATGTACTTCCTTTTGCACACCCAGGTCTAGATGACTCCACAGGTGGGACCCCCCTCACGCCTGCGGCCCGGATATCAGCCCTCAACATCGTGGGAGACCTGCTGCGGAAAGTGGGAGTAAGACCAACTGGCGCCTCCCTGGGTTTGCTGTGGCTTTTTGCCTTTCCTTCAGGAAGTTGGCGAGGGATGACCTTACCACTTCCTTTCCCCTTTAACAGAGAGTTCATGAGTTCTAGGTGTAGCTCGGGGTCTGTCACAACCTTTAGAATCATGGACGCTTCTGTGGGCCCTGACTCTAAGTCATCTCTTTGATCCCTGGATAGATATTTATTTCCCTGTACCGTTTTTTCCTTGGAATTTGGGAAGTTCAAATGGTGTGTATGATTTTTTTTTCTTAATTTGAAAAAACAGAAACATTTGAAAATTGCCTTCCCTTTGTTTCTCAGGGAGTTAAGAGAAAATCTTGAAAGGCTAGGGCAGGGAACTTAATAGGTTTTATATTAATTATAGGGAAGGATTCTTTTGTGCTTAAGAAATAACATAGGTATTCGTTGTAGTTTTCATTTTATTTTTTAAAATGATGCTCAGCAGGCCACATAATTTAACTCCTGTCAGTCTGTCATCAACCAGGATTTATGTATTCAGAGCTGCAACTCAATAGGAGCTTGCAACTCCTTTCTTATGTTTTTACTTTGGGCTTTGGATCATCTGATTTTCTGTTATATGAACAGTCTTCTGAATATTTTGCACAGTTAGCGTGTAGAGAAGCTTGGGGGGGGGGCGGGTCTCAGTGCCCTTTTGGTTTTTGTGGGGTCTGTTTACAGCAAAGCAAAGTCCTTGTTCAAACCTTCATATTTCCCATAGGCAGGGTTGGATAATCGGTAGTTAGTGATTTCCAGGAAGCAGCTAAATATCTTAGGCCTGCAGGTCTAAGTTGGCTGTGCATTGGATTCCTTTGGGCCCCACTTGGGAATTCCAGTGCACAACACATTGCTTTAGGCTCTAGTGAGAGATACAAGTTCTTGTCTTTAACTTGAGGGATGAAAGCCTATTTCTCTCCAGGCACTGGAGTCCAAACTCGCATCCTGTCGGAACTTCGTGTATGAGCAGTCCCCAAACCGGACAGGTGGCCCCACCTCAGGGCGGGCCAGCAAGAACAGAGATGGTGGTGACAGACGGCCAAGCAGCACCAGCGTGCCTCTGGGTGATAAAGGGTCAGTATTTTTTGCTGTCACTCGAGGTGGGATCCTCTAGCTCTGACCAAAAGCCATTTTAAAAAAAAAAACATATATATAATTAGAGGCCCAATGCACGAAATTTGTGCAAGAGGCCGGCTGCCGTTCCGGCTTCTCCGTCTGGCACCTGGGACCCGGGCTTCCCTCGCAGCCCTGGCTTTGGAAGGACATCCAGTCTAATTAGTATATTACACTTTTATTATTATATTACGCTTTTATTATAGATATATATAATACACGCATACGCATACACACACACACACATATATACACACACACATATATGTATATATTTATTAATTTCAGAGAGTAAAAGAGATAGAAACATCAATGATGAGAGAGAATCATCGATCGGCTACTTCCTGCACAACCCCTATTGGGGATTGAGCCCACAACCCCGGGCATGTGCCCTGACTAGAATTGAACCATTACTTCCTGGTTCATAGATTGATGCTCAACCACTAGGCCACACAAGTCGGGCCCGAAAGCTATTTTTTAAAAGTTGCAGGTTTATGTCAGTGAACTCTACCCCGTCCCTGGAGACAGAGTTAGGTGGTGTCTTCTGTTTGGGCAAATGGCCAAGGAGAGGCTTGTGTTTTATCAGATTCTGCAGTCCCAGCTCCTGGTCACGCTGTGAGGATGTCCTGTATAAATCACTTGTCTGGGACTTGAACTTCTAATACTGCTCTGCTTCCTCCAGAAGAGGATTTAAATAAAAAATTAAAAAACAAAACAAACTTTAGAACCTTCTGGAAACTGGCAATAAATTCCAGCCAGACTAGAATCCTGAAGCCAGTCACTGGATTGGAAAACAAATCTGACCTTTAATGGCTTCATGTACTTTCTTTCCTGAAGAAAATCAGTAAGCTTCCAGCATCAGTAACTTTCTAAGATGTGCCACCATCTTACTGGACCCCAAGCCACAATTTGGTGGGTCCCTGGCAGACAGGTGACAGGAAATGAAGAATTGTTTTCCGTGGGAACGCACGTAACTTCCAGACCTTTAAAGAGGGTCCTCTGCACCTGGGCTACTGGTGTGGCCTTGGGAATGTGAGTGCTAGACAGCCGGTGTCCTTTTCTTCATTTCACAGGAGAGAAAATTGAGACGCAGTGACCCTGCTCCTGACTCTTGATATTCATTCTTGTAACTGTGGGCCCCGATGCTAGTCAGTCGTAACAGCTGTAATGTCTGCTTAATTTGGTTTGCTCTGTCTGAAGGTTGGGAAAACGCCTGGAGTTTGGGAAGCCGCCTTCAAATCTGTCCTCGCCGACGCTGCCGTCAGCCCAGGGTGTAGTCAAGCTGTTGCTTTAGAAAATCCACAGAAGCAAAGCCACTGGTGTCTGTGCGGGAGTTGTTACCTTTCGTCCTCTCTTCACACTAGGTTTTTTTGTTTTTGTTTTTTTTTTAAGGTAGTTTGAGAAATATGGGCAAGCAGTCACACTAGCCAATGACTGAGGCCATTGCCCGTGGCCCTGGTGGTTGACCCTGTGGAATGCGGTCTCAGTCCCAGCCTCCATGTTGGTGTGTTGCAGATGGACAGGGACAAACTGGACCTGCTGGAAAGGGCTCTGAGTGTGAGTGCTGAGGCTTCCCCATGATTGTGAGCTGACCCCAGTCCTGATTGGTCCTGAGTGTTTTTAACGTCCGGAGGGAGACGCCTTACAAGGGGATCTGAGCCCACCTCGGGCTCCCCAGTCCAATTCACCTGGAGCTGTCTTCGAGAACAAAGTCTCTCAACACTGCATGGACAGCAAGGATCGGCACACTGAGATCACCTCTAAGAGCAGAGAGTAGACTAGACACGTGCTGACTAAAACTGTGTAGTATACCTCCCACACTTTTTAAGCTGGCTCATTGATGCTTTTAGAGGTGTGCCTGAGTTTCAGAGTATATTTTGCGTGGATCAGGTCAGTGGAAAACCTTTCCTGTTTACATGTGTCCTGACCGTTACTTGTCCTGTGCCCCACCCCTGGCATGGGGGTGACCTCTGCTTCAGGACCCGCAAAGTCATGCGGATGGAGCGGCCTTGGAAATAGAGCCTTTAAGAATAGAATTTCATTGATGGCCATAATGAAATAATCAGGGTAACCTTCAAATAAGGTTAAACCACCAGGATTGTTGTTGACGACGCTTCTTGTCAAAGAAGAAACGCACACAGGATTTTCAACGTGGACGGGGCACATGCTTATCTCTGCTTGCTGGGAATGGCTGTCTCACACTCTCCATCACACGTAAAAAGAAGACATGAATTCAGGAGCATGTGTGTAGTTCAACAACCTTCCTTTTGTAACTAAGTTATTTTTCCAAAAGAACAGCAAAACTATCCTTGCTTTGAAAATAGAACTTTTCAAGTGCTACTGAAATTCAACAGGGAATTAAACTTCAGTGCCTGGTTCATTATCCTAGAAACATTCTAACCTGTAATGGGAAAAGATGTACTTTTATTTTTTTAAAAGAACAATAAAATCAAGAGAAACTAATTTTCAACTAGTGTGTGGTGGTCAGTAAATGCTGCTTCGTGTGTGCTTCTGTGTTTGCTCATATGGTGGTGAAAAGCTTGCTTCCTAACCAAGTAACTAAATATGAAAAAACCCACTTTTTAAACATTTTCCTCCAAATCAACTTCTTCAAACTGCACTTGGGATACGTTTGTGTAGTTTTCAGGGTATATTCACATTTGGTCACTCAGCGGAGCCTTCGCCGTTTCCGTATTTGCTCTCTTCTCAAATCTGTCTGAGTCCCCGGTGTTGGTGCATGGACTCCTTTGTGTGGAAGGAACCTTTGCAAGGAATCTCTGTCTGGAGCCTCTGGCTGAGGAAGGAAAGGCCCATGGCCTGGCCTTTCATGGTCCTCACGCTAAGAATGGTTTTGATGTTTTTAAAGGGTTGTTTTAGAAAAAAAATGAATCTGTGACAGAGACCATATGTAAACTAAAATATTTACCCTCTGGCCTTTACAGAGTTTGTCAACCCCTGCTGTGCGAAGTCTTGTGTTTTAACTTTAAAAATTCAAGGAAAGCTTGTGTTCTTCACATCACATAGGTACTGGTTTTGATGGATAAAGTTGTTCTTCCTGATCATGTTCCTCTCTGAGCTCGAGCTGCCCACCTCCTGGCTGGAGAAACCCCTTGCACAGACTCACTTTGCAGCTGCTCTTTTGCCAGGTGGGAACTTGGGCAATTTATTTCACCTCCCTAAGCCTCAGTTTTTCCATTTAAGAAGTAACCTTCACTTCTTAGGGTCGTCCCCCCCCCCCCCCCCCCCCCGCATTCTTTCGCTCTGTAGAAAACAAACACTGACTATGTTCCAGTGATTTAATCCTTTTTATTTATTCGTGAGGGTGTCCTTAAATACAGTCGGGGTGCATATAAAACAGTGTCACATTCCTGCTCTTGTCCAGTCGAGCAGTGTCTCCTTTTTAATTCAGGTGACTACGGAAGGCACTTGGTCTCGGTGAACTGTGTGCATCTGAGGTGTGGTAACCAGGACGGGGGAGAATTTTCAAACCAGGTCCTACTCACGATGTTGGAAGGGTACACAGGGCAGGGAATGACTTGGGAGTGGGAGGGGCAGTGGCACCCATTTTGGTGACTTTCTCCCCATTTTATGTAAACTAAGTTGCCAGTGATTAAGTTACTGTGGATCTATTTATCTAAAAACTCAAAACCTCTGCACAGTTCCTTGATAGAGGGGGAGTGGGTGTGTCTGTGTCTCCTGTTGGTTTTCCTCATTTGGTACACGATTCAAAACTTAAATTGATGCCCTGAGCACAGGGAGGTGTTATGTTCATTGTGAGGGGTGTTTGTGAGGTTTGGAATTTGAAAATGGATTTGGACAATGCTAAGCAGAGTCCACTGGGTGTTGTTTTTGTTTTCAGCAAGTTTGTCTATTCACTGGCTTTGGTTCCGTTGAAGTCTGCATCACGAGCATCCATTTCCTCATCTGAACCATCCGCGTTTTCAATAACTCGACGTCCTCCAGACCTTCTAGAGGGAACAAAAGAGGTCTCGTTTCCTCGCCTGTGGGTTTTAAGAAAACACACATTTCTTTAGTACAGAAATTGTCGTAAGAGACTTTTGGAAAGGGGAAAAAAAACTCAAATGAGACACAAATGTTGAGGTTGAAGTCAACAAGTCTTGACCAGTTCCAAAGTTTGGTTACATTTGATAAGCTGGAGTGGGGAAAAGTAGGTTCTATGTCTGGCTGCTCATTCACGGACTCCAGGGTCCTGGTCTGTGGTGACCATGACCGCATGGGTTTATTCGTACCCTGTGGAGTAGGTATGAGGGAGAAATGTTCTCATCCTGCACCTTGCCGTCAGAGCGGGGACGAGGGAAGGGTTTTAGGTTTTCAACTGGAAGAAGGTGGAAATGATGTTAAGGCAGTGGTTCTCAACCTTCCTAATGCCGTGACCCTTTAATACAGTTCCTCATGTTGTGGTGACCCCCAATTTCATTGTTAAAATTTGAACCTAATTAACGCATAGTGATTAATCACAAAAACAATATGTAATTATATATGTGTTTTTCCGATGGTCTTAGGCGACCCCTGTGAAAGGGTCGTTCGACCCCCAAAGGGGTCGCGACCCACAGGTTGAGAACCGCTGTGTTAAGGGCAGCCTGAGAGCAAGGCAGTCACTGTGCGGTTGCTCTGATTACAGGCAACTCGGCACCCAGCTTTGGTGGAACAGAATTCTTGGGCTGAGTTTCCCCAGGGTGGGGGTCTCATCTGTGTTTTTACTCATCATGGCAGCCACCATTCTTGGCTTATAATAGGTGCTCAATGAGTATGTGTTGGATTAACAGGTTCCACTTACTTTTCTAAGGTGTATTTTAGCTCTAGCTGGTAGAGCACCCCTTTCTGTCCTTACCGTGCCCATCTCCTCTGTCCTACCTGATGCCCTGAGTGACCACTTGCGTTACCCTCAGGTGATCCCGGTCACCTGAAGTGAGGCTTTGCATAGGAGGGCGGGCTGGCAGAAGGAAGAAAAGTCGGCTCCACCTGCACTTAACCGTCATGGTTTGGAAGGAATGTTTGCCTCCTTTTCAGTGGCCGCAACCAATAATTGTGTGGGGCTCTGGCCACCTGGCCCTGTTTTGACCTGATTCAGAGGTCAGGTCTTAAATCATTCTAGGATGTCTAAGAAGAAAGCAGACTTTGTAAGAAAAACGACCCGCTTGACCACGCAAAGCCTGGACAGAAAAGCCACGAAGGTGAGCCCATCCCAGTTATTGATACTTGAGTTAAGAACAACGTGGACAAGTCAGATTGGAGGCATAAGCAAGGCCCACAGGATCCTGATCGCTGAGGGGGGGAATCCCAGCAGGATTGGGGTCTGAGGGTGGGAGAGACCCACCAGGTGCAGGGGATGGCACCCCCAAGGTACGGCGATCAGGAATAAATACTTAAAGTTGTAGCCACTCCTAGCTAGACTCAGGCCAACTTCTAGGCCCCCCCCACTCCCATCTCTCTCTAGTGGCAACCTTAAAAGTCTTTTTCTAGGAATTTGGGCCAGAGAGCAGGGTCTCGGAGCTCTGGGGGAGCAGCAGCCCAGGCTCTCTCCTACTTCCACCGGTTTGAAACTTGGTGGGTGGCCTGGGGCCAGAATCAGTGCCTCCTGTTCTTCCAGGCACCCTGCCTCCTGGAAGAGTCTGTATTTGCTAATTGATAGGCGTGGTCCTTGGTCTAAGGAGGAAACGCCCTGGGTCACTAAGTCGAGGCTTCAGCCCTGTGAGCCTGTTTTGTCTGGTTCAGGTGTGTCTGCCTTGAAGGGACTGATTTAAAATCCTAGGCAAAGGTTGACACTGGCTGTAACTGTCACAGGAAGTAAGGGACCCCTGTAAAGGTTTTCTTAAAGGGTCTGGTCCTGGAGAATGTGGGTTCTATTTGTGGGCTCAGAGAACTTTCTCAAGGCTCTGCTGGCCCAGCAGGGACCAACATGAGGGTGTAAGCACCTGCTGCTTCACGACTGGGGCCCCCATTGTCTGTGGGTCCCATGCTGCAGGTGACCCTAGAGTTCATCTAATCCTATGTTCCCAATGAGCTGGCAGGAGGGCTCGGAAGCTGAGGCTAAAAGCTCCTGCCAAGACCTCATCCAGCTTTAAGTATTTGAGTAGTGACAGCAAAGCTGAGATTCTTGAAAAGGAAAGACAGACACAGCCAGGGCTTGCTCGGCCTCTCAGGAGGATGAGAGGAAAACCAGGCCCCAGGTGCCTACCTTACGTATGAAAAGGTTGTTAGACCCCCCGCCCCCCCAGACGTCCAGACCTCTTAACTCTGCCTTGTGAAGGGCCCCAGGCGCTTCCTAGAGTCTTGGGTACCCGTGCCCCGATCCGTGAGTGAGTACGTGCAGTGAGACTCTGGAAAAGGCTCTGCCAGGATTCTGCCAGCTCTGTGGTGGCTCACGTCACCCTCGCATGCTGAAAATGCAGCTAGGAGCCAGGCCTTGCTGCAGCCCCGCGCTCATGTCGCCCTCACAGGCTGAAAATGCAGCTAGGAGCCAGGCCTTGCTGCAGCCCCGCGCTCATGTCGCCCTCACACGCTGAAAATGCAGCTAGGAGCCAGGCCTTGCTGAAGCCCCAGCACTTGGAAGGCATCATGGCGAGCTCACTTTCCTTGCGGACAAGTTTGTGAAACCCCACCCGGGGGTGGGTGAGGGGGCAGATTTCTGAGCTGTGCTTCCGTGAACCTATGCTTTGTTAATTCTGACTAGTGAACTAGACTGAAGCCATTCTCCAGGAGTGTACCCACATCGTGGCGTTGTCATACCTGCTCCGTGCAGTGTTAGCCAGACGAGGGAGGGCGAGTGTCCCTAACAGGGTAAGAGAGGCCCTCTCACGCAGGTAAGAACAATCTAAGTGACACAGCCTCTAAGCTCTTGTCACCGCGTGGTTTCAGGGACACATTCGGTGCCGTGTCATGCCAAAGCGGAAGCAGGGAAGGAGAATGGGTCAAGGCATGAGGTCATCTTGCGTTGATCTTGGTTGTGATGAAGGACAGTTTTGAACTAAGATGTCCAAGCCTTCAGATTTTGCAGGAATCTCAGAGAAATTTGCAAGGGCCAAAAAAAAAGGGGCAGGGAGGGCGCGATGGGCAGAAAGGAAATGGAAACTGAGTGAACACACGAGCCGCAGCAAAGCTGAAGGCATGATACCTGGTGAGTCACTGCGCAGTTTCCTGGGGGAGGGGGCCTCTGAAACAGAGAGAGAGAGTCCTTGGTGGTTATCATTAGGCAAACGGGAGGGAGCCCATTTAAGTACCTTTCAATCATGGAGGCGTTTGCTTTAATGAAATAATTACAGGCACTTTTAAGTCAATCTGCCAACAAAGCATCTAAACCCTGGCTGGCACACAAAAGGACAAGCTACTTCTTTAAAATCAAAACGCAAATTTCTGTCCTTGTGAGCTTCTTTTAGGAACACAGGTGGCTTCCTCCCATCATGTAGACCTGTTCAGGAAGGTAAAGGCATGTGAGTGAGCTAGTTCAAAGTTCCACCTGGAAACACAGTCCCAGACTAAGCACCTGCTGCAAGGTCTCACTGTTATTACTTGGTCTTCGTTGCCTTTTATGCCTGCAGCAAGCTGATAGAGGTGGACACCTTCTGCAGATGACTGGCAATGTGGCACATGATGGGGACGCTAGACAGGCCCAAGAGGGCTTGTGTCGAGACTTATCTGGCTGGTAAAACTATGAAACTTGTTTGCAGTTCCTCTGAGGAGTTGGCTAGGCTCCCAACCCCACTCAAAGCTCTATTTTGAGGAAGACCTGTGCTTGATTTTAGGTTTAGTACATCTAGAAGACTCAGAAGGCAGAAAAGGTCTGACCCGTCTTCAGCTTACATTATGTGCATGTTCATGTTAGGACCGTAAAATAACGGTTTCTTTCATACAGGCCTGGGTGGTCTAAGAAGGGTTAGTTGTCTGGGGTAGAACCCACAAGGGATGTTCGGAGTATCCCAAGAAAAGGGAGTAGTGACAGCAAAGGGGTGAGAGAGCAGGAGTGGCTGACTACTTCCCCAGGCACTGAGGAGTGTCTGGGAGTCTTTGTGGTGAGAGCAGCTCTCCCACTGACAGTCGACCCTGGGGGTTGCCCCCATGCTGGACCTGAGAGGTTAGGCCTGGTTTCCATTCCATCAGGCCCCTCATTATGCTGGGACTGGGGCCTCATTCCTGAATCCGGTACCCTGAACCAGCTGTTCTCTTCCCTCTTCTGAAAGGGGTTTGGGCTTTCCCTTCATCTCATGTAGTGGTTCTCAAAGTCTCTAGGCTACATCCCAAGGGCTCCTGGGCATGCCATTGGGTAGAAAAAGTCTGTTTGGTGCTAATGTGGTTGTCACTTGCTTTTTAACTGAGAAGTAGTCCTTAAGGTCATAGTCATCAATTTGTGGCCACAATAGCTAGAACTCACTATTGTGTTCACTGTATTTAATTTCATCGTTACCTGGTGATGCTGGTTTAACAATAGAGGGGTGGTAGTGTATGATTAACACAGTTAATGTAAAAGAAAATGTCAAGTAATCAGTAGTGCAGGTAGTGAGAGGCAAAGGTGGTTGAGAACGACAGAGAAACATCTCTGACCCAGTGATGGAAGGTTTACTCTGCGCCCAGCTCTGCCCCAGACACTGAGGATGAGTCACCAGACACAACCTCTGTGCTCACAGGCTTGCAGGTGAGAGTGAGACAGATCATGAATGAGGTAAGTACAGTGAACAGCAGGTTCCGTGGTGACAGGGAGGTAAGAGAGGAGAACTGTAGGGAGTGAGGTTGGAAATTTTAGAGAGTAAGAGAGATAAGTAAACCTCTGAAGGAAAGGAAGAGGGAGTCAGCTGTGCAGAGAGCTGGGGGAAGAGCATTCCAGGCAGAGGGGTCAGCCAGGGCCCCGAGGCACTGTGTGGGGAGGTCAGGGAGTCATTTAGGAGGCAGTGGACAGAGATTGTGAAGGACCTAGTGGAACCAACCATTGGAGAGACATGATCCAGCTCCATTCAAACAGGATTCTTCTGGCTGCTGTGTTGAGAACAGACTGTAAGGGGGAGAGCATGGAAGCAGGGAGGCCTGAGGAAGCTGCGAAAGTTGTTGAGATGGGAGGAGGTTGGCAAGAAGTGGTTGGCTTCTGGGTATATGGTATTTTTAAGGGAGTTGACCAGATTTTCTGACAGATTGGATACAGGGTATGGGGGAGAGAGGAAAGTAAAGAAAGAACACAAGGTCTGTGGTCTGGGTTAATTGATGGAAACTTTATCATCCCACTTGTTGAGCTGGGAAGGACTGGGGGAGGAGCTGGTTTGGGGTGAAGAGGTTCAATTGAGGCTCAGGTTGGGGCATGTAAGGTGTGAGCGGCCCATGAGATATTGAGTGGGAATGTCAAGCAGGGTCTGGAGTTCCAGGAAGAACCTAGGGAGTTAGGAGATGGAATTCTAAAGGCACAGGGCTGGCTGAGATCATCGAGGGAGGAGTGACAGAGGTGGACATGAAGAGAGAACCAAGATGGCGCCCTGGGGCAGGCCCACAGCCAGAAAGCAGGTGAGGCTGGTGTCGGAAGCCCAGTGAAGAAAGTACAGGGAGGAGGCGTGATGGGATGGTGCTGCTGAGTCAGGTCGGGACCAAGGACTGACCACGGGATTAGAGTCTGTGTGTGGTCAAGAGTAGGAGGAGCGAGCCATAGCCAGTTTGGCTCAATGGATAGAGCATCGGCCTGCAGACTGAAGGGTCCTGGGTTCGATTCCAGTCAAGGGCACATGCCCGGGTTGTGGGCTCAATCCCCAGTGGGGGGCATGCAGGAGGCAGCCAATCAGTGATTCTCCCTCTTCCTTCCTCTGAAATCAATAAAAATATTTTTTTAAAAAAGTAGAAGCGTGAGGCTAAGAGGGTTTTTCTGCTGATGCAATGACTCTGTGAGAGGGGAAACATGGCAGAGGAAGAAGGTAAGATTTTCTGGAGTAACATCCTCAAGTAAACAAGAGGGGAGTCCAACAGAGGGGTTGGCCTTAATGGGTGCTGGACAGTTCAGCCCAGAAATGGTGCAAAAAGTTGAAGAAATGAGATGTAGAGAGGTCGACTGATGGGGCAGTGGGAGCTTGTTTACTTTCTATGATAGTTTCTATTTTTCAGTTAAATAGGAAGTAAGGTCATAAGCTGAGACTGGGCGGAGATAGTAATTTTAGGGAGAAAATAAAAGCAGATCTCTAAGAGAGTGGGAGGCTGAAGTACAGCCAGCATGGTTGCTTTTCTCACACCCTTTGGAGCTGTAGGTGGGAAGTACAACACAGCAAGAGGGCTCAGGGTATTGAGGATGTGTGAAAGGCTGATGGCAACCCCTGAGCCTGGGTTCCATGCTGGGTAAGGAGTCATTGGGGTTGTGAGAGGATGGGTTGAAGATCCCAGGAGTCAGAAGGTGGCAGCAGGCAAATGATGCGATGCCTGAAGGTCACATTAGGGCTTTGAGTTACTGGTAATGCCTGTGGAGTGGCAGGATCATGGAGAAGAGAAGGTGGAGGGGTGTGAGAGAATGTGACAGGAAGCTCAGAGCTAAATTTCAAGGAATTGGGGGTGGGAGGGAGCCTGAAGGAGCAGGGTGGTGACCTACCCACCTTCAGACCCAGAAGTTATACAGGCGCAGGAGAGAGAACAGACCTCAGTGCAGTCAGGGCCAGGTTCTCAACCTTGGGTGACTGTACCCTCAGAGAACATCTGGCAACGTATCGAGACGCTTTAGGTTGTCACAGCCGGTCGGAATGCTACTCTAGCTGGTGTCGGACAGCCAGGGATGCTGTTCAACATCCTACAATATACAGGCCAGGCTTACCCAGTCCCAGCAGTGCCAAGGAACCCTGGGTTTTAGAGAAAGGTGGTGAAGAAAAAGGCCAGACGAGAAGGCTCAGGAGACGGGAAACTGCCTCTCCCTCCTCCTCCTCCTCCTCACCAGAAGGATGGGCAAAGATTGTTAACACGTTAAGCGCCAAGCCTGTTTGTCTTCCTTTCCGTTTAGCCCGCGATATCCGATTTCACCGATATGCTGGCGGCACCAGTGACTGACCGGTCCGGACAGAAAGTATAGCGTCAGTCACCTGTGACCGACATGGCGCTTAACATATTAAAGAACAGAGAAGGTGAGCCCCTTAGAGGCAGGGCCCCCGTGTGCCTGGACACTGCTGCATGAATGGTGACCAGCAGGAAGAGCCGGGGAAAGAAGCGAGGGCTTCGGAAAAGGTAGCCTTTGCGTCGATACAGTCAGTGGGCATCTCAGGCCTACTTGAGCACCCGGCCCGGGAGGACACCCCTCCTGGGGCTGGGCCGCCTCACCTGAGCTTGCTCTTGAGCGCGGTCATCTCGCGGCCCATGGCCTCGTTGCTCTCCGTGGCCTCGTCCAGCTCCCGCTGCAGCTTCCTGCGGTTGGCGTTGATGCGCTGGGACTCCTCTTCCGCCTCCTCCAGCTGCCTCTTGAGTTGTTTCACCTTCACATTTCCTTTCTCTGCCTGTCAAGGAGAGGCGCGAGGGTCAGGGGGCCCCTTGGAGGTCTTGGGGGACTAAAGGGGGAGAGGCCTGCGGTGGCGGTGTACCTGCTCCTTGTACTGCTCAGCCGCCTTGCGCTCGTCCTCCACCTGCAGCAGGACCTCCTTCAGCTTCTTGTCCTTCTGCTTCAGTGACTTGGCAGCCGCCAGTTTCTCTCTGCGCACAAGGGGGAAGCAGTCGCTATGTAAACCAGACCGGCATCTTGCCCACTGTGGGGACTCTTCCTGAGCTCCCAGAATCCACCAGATAGAAGATTAGAATAAGTCCATAAAAAGCAGAGGCACTGACACCTGCTGTGGCAGGGGCGAACCTTGAGAACGTGTGCCCAGTGAGAGAAGCCAATCACAGGCCTTGTATGAGTCTGTGTCTATGAAATGTCCAGAACAGACAAGGAGACAGAAAGTAGGTCAGCGGTTGCTTAGGACTGGGGATGGGGGTGGGGATGGGAATTAGAGGGTGATGAAAATGTTCTACATTTGACTGTGGTGAGGGTGGACCTACCTGTGAATATACTAGAAGCCATTGAATTGTACACATTAAATGGGTGAATTGTGTGAGAGTGAGTTATCAGTAAAGCCGCTACCAAACAAAAAAGAAGGGGTCAGAATCCTTACAGTCTGATGGTCACAGATGTGCTGTGAACTTACAGCTCAGTGACCCGTCATTAAAATGAGAAGCCTTCCCATATTCGTGTACTAAATGGTTGTTGATTTGGACTTGTGTCTCGTTAACATGACCTCCTGCTAATGTGGATCAGGAAAAGCCACATGTGCTCCCGGGGGAGCTGGCTGGCGTCACTGAGGAACCAAGCTATTTACTAAGAGCAGATGACATTTCCAGGGCTTCCTCTGGGCCAGGGACAGGCACAGCCCTTTCCTGCGTTCTCCCTAGTCCTCCCGGCACAGCTGCAGCTCGGGTACCGCTGAGTTTATTTCATAGCCACAACCGATGCCCGGAGAGGCTAGCCACCTCCCAGCACTCAGGGGAAAGCGGGCTGTCATTGGAGCCCTGGTCCCACGGTACCTGGCCTCCTGCTCCACCTGCTCCTCCAGCTGTGCGATCTTGGCCTCCAGGGATGCAATGGTGGACTTGAACTTGGACTTGACTGCCCCCTCCATCTCCTGGAGCTTGCTCCGGAGCTCTTTGTTCTGCCGCTCTAGCTGCTGCCTTGCGCTCTCGTTCTTCTGGGCTGCGCTGCGCTCCGTGGCCAGCTCATTGTTGAGCTGCTCGGCCTGGGGAGGAGGGTGAAGGTAGTGAGGTGGGGGGCATGAAAGCCTGTGGTGTGCACTGAGATGACTGACTTCTCCCGCAGTCTCCAGCCTTTTTCAGCCTCTGCACTCCCTCTCCTCCTTCCTAGTCATCCTTTAACTCTCAGTTCAAGAGGCAGCTCATCCAGGCAGCGTCCTGGTGCCACCCAGGCTCCCTGCTATCCTCAGCTCATCCCAGGCCTGGCACACAGCAGCCTTTAATGCATGTCACTGAGCCAGTGTGGGGCTTTTGCTGTTCCAATGCCCAGGCCCCCACCTGTTGTGTGGCCTTTCGGACACGGTCACTCATGGCCTCCATGTTGCCTTGTTCTTCCTCCAGCTCCTCCTCCAGCTGCGCGATCCGGGCCTCCAGGCGGCGCTTCTCATCCTGAAGCGTGTTCCTAAGGGAGATACAGCGCATCTGAGGCCTCCCGTCTTCCCTTGGCTTAGAAAACTCCCTGTCCTTGGGGAGCAATGCCTCAGGGTTGTCCTCACTTATCACCGAGGAAACCAAGGCTCAGAGAGCCTTAGAGACTTGTCCAAAGTCACATAGCTGGGAAGTAGGGAGCCAGGACTCATACCCAGTTGGTGTCAGCAAAGCTGGGCCTGGGATGAGGACCAGCTCCTCCCTGATGCCCCCAGATGCCTCCTGTCCCCACTATGCTGTTCATTCAGAATGAATGAAACTGGCCACACTCCCAAATAGGGTGTGGAAACCCTGAGACCCCTGTTACAAGTTCAATTGAACATTCTGTCATTTTCAGCATTAAAATGAAGGGCTAGGAGGCTCACCTATGAGTTGCCTCTCCATCATCTGAGTCTAGGATCCCCCTTCATCCCATGCTGTCTCATACCTTCCTGACACACTGCTGGCCAGCTCCTCGGCCAGTTCCTCCTTCTCCAGGTCTGCCTGTTTGCGAGCCCTCTCAGCTGCGGCTAGATCCTGGATGGTGGGGGGCAGGGAGGAAGGAAACCTGTTGTCTGCAGGGAAGGGCTGACCCTCGCCCAAGAAACCACCCTGCTCCTCACCAGGCCCCCAGCAGGCTCCATGGCCACCTTTGAAAATGGCTACACCGCCTCTGAGCTCAGAGAGGCCCTGCAGTCATGTCAAAGGAGAAAACTCTGTGTTTTTCTAGGGCCTAACTAAGAGGGTCCACCCATGTGGAAGGCTGGATTGAGGAAAGAAAGCTGTGGATGTACAACCTGGGATGCCAAGGGCTGCTGCCACACATCCCCATCTGAGGCACTCACAGGGAGAAGGCTTTACCTCCTGTAGCTGCATGAGGTCTGCTTCTAAGCTCTTGGCTTTCTTTTCATTCTCCTTGGCCGTGGCAAAGATTTCTTCTCTGGAGGCACGGGCGTCGTCCAGCTCTCTCTGGAAGTCCTTCATCTGAGCCTGCATGAGTCAACAGGAAAGACAAGCTGTCCTTAACTCGCCCAAGTTCTGCCGCCCAAATTACCTTTCCATGATCACCACTAGGATTTTCTGTGATTGACCACAGGGAAGCCCCTGTTGCACGAGCATTGCCCTCAGCCCCAGGTGGCCATTTGGGGGGTATTTTGGAGGAGCTCAGCAGACCTAAGAAAAGATGATGTGATGTGAGGGCCTTGGCCAAAGTGCCTGATAAAAGTGTCCTGCCCAGGGCGGGAAACAGTCACCGAAAGCCAAATGGTGATAGAAAACACCAGCTGAACAGGCACAAATGGCAGCGAGAGGCCTGCACCCTCCTGCTTCTGACTGACTTCCCAGCCTGGGGGACCCCCTCCCTCCCCAGTGCCTGCACCCAGAGCTCCACCCACCTGCAGTTTGCGCAGCTGCTTGATGGCTTCCTCCCTCCCCTTGATGGCTGAGTCAGCCTGCAGCTCCAGGTCTTTCAGGTCCCCTTCCAGCTTCTTCTTGGCAGCAGCGGCCAGGGCACGTTGCTTTCGCTCGTCTTCCAGTTCCGTCTCATACTCATGGAGCTGGGCAAGGAAGAGACGGGCACTGCTACGCTGTGCGCCTCTCAGAGGGCCTCTCCCTGCCCAACCAGTATTCACTGAGTTCCCAGGTGTGCACAGCCCCCTGCAGGGTGGGTTTTTCTCATCCCCAGGTTGAGAAAATAGTCTCCATGAGGCCAGGAAGTGGAGGTGGAAGGAAGGACACAGGCCACCCCAGCTCCCCATACCCCCACTGCCCCTGCAGGATTACCTGCCTCTGGAGTTGCCGCCTTTTCTCTTCATTCTGCTCATCCCGGGCCTGGAGATCGCGCTCAAACTGGCCCTTGAGGGCCTGCATGTTGACCTCGAGCCGCAGTTTGGCATCTTCCGTTGCCTGCAGCTCATCCTCCAGCTCTTCCAGCTGTGTCTTCATCTCCTCCATCTGGGTTTCCAGGGCTCGCTTGGACTTCTCCAGCTCATGGACCTTTTACATGAGGGTTGACTTCATGAAGATGGTCAGGCAACCACAGTGACAGGCAGCTCATTAAGCGCAGGGAGATGGTGTTTGCCACCCACGGGATGCATGACTAGGAGTCAAGACCAGAGCCTTCCTCTCGGATCCCTTGACTCAGACCCCACCCCCAACTGCTATTCCCAACCAGGCCCGGTCTTTGCGTCAGCCCAAGGGACTGCCTACAATGCCCAGGTATCACTTAACACGAAAGAGGCACAGCGCCAAGTCCCTCGCAGACGGATACACAGCACAGTGGGTGGGTTGGTGAAATGTAGACAAGCAAAGATGATAGAGACTTACGTTCTTGCCTACATCGTCCTTGGAGCTAACCAGGTCCTCCATCTCGGCTTTGAGCATTTTGTTGGTCCTCTCGAGTTCCTCTTTGGCTTCCAAGGCCTCCTCAAGGGCCCGCGCCAGGGACAAGGCCTTGGTTTCCTTTTCCCTGGCTTCCGCCTCCGCTCTGTCCCTTTCGTCTGCATATTTGGAAGAGATGTTTTTCTCCTCGGCCAACAACTACAACACAACAGAAGACCCAGAGGTGACTGACCTCTAGATGTAACCTGAGGTTCCGCTGGATTTCATTGCAAAGCCCGTGTCCTGCAGAACTCTCCCAGGTGCACGTGTGGTTGAGAAATCTATGGAAATCGTTTCTATTAAGCTTGCTTTCTGACTTCCGGGCCAGCCTTATGCAGAGCCAGCATCTGCTGAGTCTGTGCTTTGAAACCACTAATGATGCCCATTTTGGTTAGAGCATGCTGCTACTGAGATCAGAGTGACATTGGATCCTGCCAGAGGCCAGCTACTTTCTTCTTGTTTCATGGCCTCAATAGCTAGCTCTCAAAAACGCTCTGTGCGCCCCAGCAGGGACATGGTGAGTGTGCAAGTGGTTCTGCACACACTTGTCCCTCTGCTTGGAGAAGCAGTTCAAAGAACACTCCATACTGATGTTAGTCTCGCCTTCCAGGAAGCAGCAAAGACATATGTAACGTCCAAAACCCAGACTTCCAGAATTCAGCAAAGACATGTAGGTAACAGGATCCCAAACAACACAGTCAACACAAAAACTCTACACTGTGTGACAGGAATATAAATAAAAGGGCTCTTGGGCCCTCAAACAGACAATGAGGACAAGCTGGCAGCACAGGGAAGGGATGGCTGGTGGAAAGGGGAGTCAGCATGCCAACCAGGAGCCCAGTACTCTATGAGTCCAGCTGGGGAGGGGCAGTGAACCCCACATCTCCTAGTACAATCCCCCATTGGTTTTTAGAATAGCCCCAAGTCACAGTTACTAAATCTGAGTAACATATTAAAAGTTAGTATTTAGTGGTTTGGGGCATACTGGTATATATGCATTTATTAGAACTCAGTGAGTGTACACTTAAGATTTGTGCATGTCATTATATGTAAATTTTACTTGAAGCAAAATTACATATATTTTAAAAACTGCAATGCTGAGGTATTGAGGGGGAAGTATACAGATGTCTATAATTTTCTTTGAAATTTATCTGAAAGATAAGATACGAATGACAGATGGTTCATTCTGATAAATAAATACGTGATAAAGTGAGTATAGTGAAATGTTGAAGATCGAATCCAGGTGGTGGGTATACAGGTGGACAGTGTTTTCAGATTGTGTGCTTGCAGTTCTTTGTAATGAAATGTTAGGGAAAAGTGGTATTTAAAGGGTAGAAAATTTAAATTACTGGGTATACTCAGTAGGCACACAATAAAAACTTGAGTGAATAAGATAAATAAATAAACCTCCTTCCTTATTGGGACTAGACACTAAGGCATGTGACTGGGTTTGCAGATGGCCCCGCTGGTGGTGGCCCCTGGAAACGTCACAGCCTTCGAGACTGCCCCTCTCCGTACTCTGACCCAGGAGCCGCACTGTTCCACAGTCCCTAAAGCAGGCCAACTGTGCGTCCTTCAGCAAGTGGGAGGATGCCGACACACACACAGCAGCCACCCGGATGCTTCGCAGACCCGACTCCCCCAGCCAGCATCCGTGAACAGCGGTGCGTCCTCCAGCCCCTACCTGATCAAACTTCTTCTGCTTCTTTTCCAGGTTGGACACCAGTTGCCGCTGGTTGTCCAAATCGACAACCAGGTCGTCCAGCTCCTGCTGAAGCCTGTTCTTGGTCTTTTCCAGTTTGTCATAAGCAGCTGCCTTCTCTTCGTACTGCTGGGTGAGGCCTTCGATTTCCTTCTGGAACCTCTTCTTGCCTTCTTCCAGGGCCTCCACGGTGCTGGCAAAGTCCTGCAGCTTCTTCTTCGAATCGGAGAGCTGAAATGGCAAGGTTGGAGGTGGGGTGAGAGGAGGCAGTGAGTGACTCCCATCCCTGTCCCCCAGGCCCTGAGAAGCAAAGACCACCTTCTTCTCACAGAAGAAATTCAACAGCAGGAGGAGCCTGCAAGCCAAGCAAAATGGCACCAATGCTCTCCGAGAGCACATCGGAGCCCCCGAGCTACCCTTCGGCCCAGAAAAGCCAGGACACAGCCGCACCTGGATGTTCAGAGTTGAGATGTGGCGCTCCAGGTTCTGCTTGGCCTCTATCTCCTCATCCAGCTGCTCCTGCAGGCTGTTCCTCTCATCCTCCAGCTGGCGCAGCTTGGTGGACACGTTGAGCTTCTGCCGGGTTTCTTCTTGAAGCAGCTCCTGCAAAAAGGACACACGCAAGTCCCAGGAACCCACCCCCAGGCAGGTTGTACTCCAGGTCCCTCTGGATGATGGGATGGGATACCCACCTGGGTGTCCTGGAGCTGGGACCCCAGGGAGGCCACGTCCTTGGCCAGTTTGATGGCCTTCCCTTCCGCCTCGTTGAGCATCCCTGTGACACTCTCCACTTCATTCTGAGGGGGCAAGAGACTGTGGTTTAGCTGGAACCTCTAGGACAGGATCCTCTTTAAGTAAGAGGAACACTTTCTACTCACGAGATACCACCGCCATGTGGTGTCCATTGACTGAGAAATACCCATGAGCTGTGGGGCCTGATCATGGCGGCCCCCAAGGGAAGTATGTTGCCTACAAGTTGGGATCCCTGGCCTCTTCACATTTACAATGAGGACACAAGTGACCTTAACTCCACTCCTCCAGGACAGTGCTGGTGTTAGGATAGCAAAACCCCTGCCCTCACCTGGATGTGGAAAATATATTTAATGCTTCCCCTACTCTCTCATCCCAGACTGTAAGCACACTAAATATTTATCAAAAGTTTGACCATATCCCCTGAAAGGAAAGTTGGATCAAATGTCTATTCAAAGCTAAATAAGACCAAAGCTAAACAGGCTGTGTCATTCTCCAGCTTAACACCCATCAATAGCTTCCCATCACAGAGTAAAGACCAACATACATATAATAGGGCCTTGAAAGCGGGCGCTGTGTCATCCAGCCACAACCTGCCTCTCTGGTCCCATTTTGTACCACATTTCCCTTTCAACTTGGCCTTCTAGCTCTACCGGTCTCATGTGCTCTAATTTCCCATGTACAACTGGGCCTTTAGAGATGCTGTTCCCTTTGCCTTTTCTTTCAGATCATACATCCTTAGGGAAGCCTTTCCTGACTCCCCCTCCTGCAGGCCAGGCTTCTTCTTGTTCATACTTACTACACCCCTTAAAGGGGTTAAGTGCCACCCCTTTCCAGCATCATTTTACATTCATTTTTGTGATTATCGGAGCCTCTCCCTCCACTAGGCTGGAGTTCTCCTGGGGCAGGAACAGTGTCTGTTTCCTTCCTTGCTGTTGTATTTCAGGATTCAACGCAGTGCATGGCCTACAGCAGGTTCTCAGTAAATACTTGTTGAATGAACGGATGAAGGTTCTTCATGATTAAACTGGATAGGGTGACCATCTCTAGTTACATTAGGGATATAACTAGAGGAAACCGACTTGCTTTGCAGCAAGAGAGACTTCAGTGAGCTGGGAAGTGCAGCATCCCTCGCAGAGCGGGTACCAGGGCTGCCCTGCGCTGCCGCCTCACCTGCAGCTTGTGGACCTTGTCGTTGAGCTCGGCGCGGGCCCGCTCCCCGTCGCTGCACTTGGACTGCAGTTCCTGCAGCTGCACCTCCAGCTTCTTCTTCTTGTGCTCCACCTCCTGCTTGGCCTGGTTCAGGACCCGCAGCTCGCCTGCCAGGTCTGCGTTCTCCTTCTCCAGCGTCTGCTTGTTCTTGTCCAGGTTGGCCTTGGCCTGGCCCGAGAAGCAGAGGGGAGGGAAGGCGTTATAGCCGTGGCCAGGAGAGCATTGTAAGGTAGGAACCTCTGTCCTTTCCCTCCCCAGGGGGGTGCAGGGACGAGACACAGAATCACCAGGAAGACTTGGGGTTCTGTTTTCCTAACGCGCAGAGGTCCCCAACCTGCATCCCACACGGGCTGCAGCCAACCTGCTGTCATGTCCCCTTTGGCCCTTCATTACTTTCTGAAAAATTAGTGCCAACATTTTAATAAATGTCACATACAACTCTGGACTCCCAGCTTCTCTATTAAGTAATCTAATGTCCTATATCATGATGACTGTGGTGATGGTTACCCAAATGCATACATTTGTCAAAGTTCACTGAGCTACACACTTAAAATCAGTGAATTTTACTGCATATACCTCACTAATTCTGACTTTCAGGAAAAAAAAAACAACTCACAAAAACTAAAGATATGGAAACAGGAGTTTTGCCTTCCTCCAAGGCAGTGATCTGCTGGGTCTAAGTAGCAGCTGGCCCTATAGATGGGGCAGCCACACTTCACTCGGCCCCCGTCCCTACCATCCCTTTTGTCCATCACATTTACTATCAAATGCATGCTATTTCAGTGATAGTTAAGAGAAAGTTGCTTTATCTAACCAGCTCCTGTTGGCATGTCAACTTCCCTAAGAGAAAAGTATTTGGGGTGAAAGGAGGGTTTTTGTTTTTATGGGGCTGGAGGGTGGGAAATAAGAGAAAAGCATGAGGGTCCCAAGGGCAGAGGAAACAACACTGAGCTTTCCCACAATCCCTAGGCAGGAGCCATGCAATGCCCAGGCAGCCTCGGGGAAGCCATTCCTCTGACCCCGTCGTGACTGAGCTGTCAGTACCTCCGCCAGGGACAAAGTGCCTCTTAGGGGAAACAGTGCAGGTTGATAAGCAAGGACCCCAGGGGATTTGGGCCCCCAAAAATCTTCACTCAGCTGAAGACCCCAGAACTATGACAAAACCACACGTGTAACAGGAGGCCAGGTAGGAATGATGATAAAAGTTTTCCCAACAACCTGCTGGGACCAGGGCTCCAAGTTTGTACCAAAGTCGTTACAGGTAAACTATAAGGCGCTCCTCTGTTTAGTGCACCTGAGATGGGAGCAAGAGTTTGCAGCCTCCACCTGCTTCATGCAGGTCATAAACAGATGCTGTCTGCTGGTGTCCTTAGCAGCTGAGTCGTTCCAAAGAGGCCTGGCTATGAATTGGGACTTGGCTTCCAGCCCAGCCCCCTCGGACCTGGCTTGAGAGTAGTCAAGGGGACATATACACCTTACTACTATCTGGAGTATATGTTGGAAGGTGGGAATAGCCCATCTGGATTCAAATTATATTACAGTAAAAATAACGACATTAAAAGGGAAGCCAGTTGAAAGGGGAAATGTATGTTGTCGTTACAATTAGCAAAATCTTATTTGTCTGAAATATATAAAGAATGGATGAAATGTTGAAGATTGGTATTCAGATCCCACTGGGAGGGTGAGGGGTGCTTGGTCCTGCACAGTTCTTTTCAGAGTGTGGGCCTGGAGATCGCATTTGAGCAGAGGTCACGGGGAAAACTAAACCAGTGTGCGTGAAACCTTGGAAAAGTGGCCTGTAATCAGCGCCACATAAGCGATTGCTTACATTATTGACACGAACAGAAATGAGATTCTGTTAGAAGAGGGAGTGAACCAGCTCACGGAAAGATAATAAACCAGTTCATGGAAGAAGATTTCACAGCTCATGGAGTAAGAGTCATCTTGACTGAGACTTAAACAGATGCAAACTCCTACCATTTCTGGTAAAGCTATGGCCATTTCACCTGTCTTGTGGGGTACTTAGTGCAGGGAGGTGGGGAATGTAGGACTGAGGGCGATAAAATTCAGACTTTAGGGAAGCAATATAGCAGGAGGTCACGAGTTAAAAAACTCACCCCTGGGAATGAAACACAAGGAAATTGTGTGTGTTTTTTTGTTTTTGTTTTTTTAGCTGTAAAATGTGCTTAATAGCACCTCCCTCTTCGGGTGGTTGTGAAGATTAATTGCCATCCTGTACGGTACACAGTCGATAAGTGCTGGCTGCAGTCTTTATCGTTAGAATCTTGCATAGCGTGTTACTCATCTTAGTGCAGACTCTGACATGTGGTTATTTGAAGCTGTGGATATAGCACCCACTGACGTGTTGTCACAAAAAAGCATCACAACTCACCCTCTTGAACTGCTCGAGCTGCTCCGTGAGCTCCTCCACCGCCTGCGTGTGCTTCTGCCTCATCTCCTGGACCTGGGCCTCGTGGGATCGCGTCTCCTCGTCCAGGGCCTTCTTTAGCACCGTCACCTCCTGCTCCCTCTTGGCCCTGGACGGGAAGAATACAGTGATGGTGGTTGGGGGGAGATGGGGCTCCCCTCAGTGTTGTGCAAAGGACCCAGAGCTGACCTCTCTATCGCCACCTCTTCCTCGCTGTGTGACCTAACCTCAGGTGAGTCACCCAACCCCCCTGGACCTGGAATTTCCTCAGCTGCAAAAAGAGGAGTATGTTACCTGCCTAGAATTTTTCAGGGCCAGCAAACAAATGCACAAAATACTATTGCTGAAAGAATTGCAAAATGACTGGCAAAATGTTCCGGAAATATGAATATTAGCTCTTACTTATTGAGCACTTACTGTATGCCAGGCCCTGACCTAATTTCTTTAATACATCGTCTCATATAATCTTCAGAGTGGCCCCACAAGGCAGGCATACTATTATTTCCATTGTATAGCTGAGGAAACTGGCTAAGAAAGGGTAAGCAGCTTCCCCGAGTTGTTACAACCACTGTGTGTAGGACCAGAAATGGAGCCCAAATAGTCTGACTCTAAGTCCGTGTTTCCAAGTCCTGCACCGGGCTTTTCTGTCTTGTTCGCCAGGTGGGACGGGAGCACAGGTCAGTGCTGCAGCACAAAACCCAGCGTGTGGGAGATGAATCTCAGTGTTCGCACAGCACCTGACACAGACGCTCTCTAATTACATTTGTGTGTTTTCTGAATGAATAAATGACCTACTTTCACTAATGATAGCATTCATTTTTCCAGCAGGTGACCTGTAGTTGTTTTGTTGTGGTCTGTTTGATTGCCTGCTGTAAATCTTAAATCAAAAACCAGCCTGATAATGCCTGGCCAGCGTGGCTCACTGGTTTGAGCATCGACCTATGAACCAGGAAGCCACGGTTTGATTCCTGGTCAGGGCACATGCCCAGGTTTGGGGCTCGATCCCCAGTAGGGGGCATGCAGGAGGAAGCCAATCGATGATTCTCTCTCATCATTGATGTTTTGATCTCCCTCTTCCTTCCTCTCTCTGAAAACATATTTTTTATAACAACAAAAACAAGAAATCCAGTCTGATAATGTTATTTTTAAAAATTAACACAAAACTTAAACCCACACACTTGGTGCCTGGGGCTGGGGGCGATTTACTGACACACACATATACATGAAAAGACAGGAAGGAGATACCCCAAAATGTTAACAGTGGGGGAACTAGGTGATGTTTCTGGTGTCTACTCTTCTCTAGTTTTCAAATTGTTCTCTGATTATGTCCCACTATTGTGATGTGAAGTAATAAGATTAAAAATAATCACACTTGTGCCAGTTACAGCAAAATGCAATCAGGACAGTAAATGCAGGGCCGGCGGATCCCTGTGATTCAGGATTTGCTGGGCTCACTCCGTCCACACCAGCCACCCCATCAAGGTGGTGGACAACGGCCCCCTCTCACCGGAGCTCCTGCTGGGTGGCCGTGCTGTCCAGCGTGTCCTCCAGCTCCGTCTTCAGCGCCTCCAGCTCCTCCCCCAGGTCTCGCTTCTGCTTCTCAGCCTTGTTCCTCGCGGCCCGTTCTGAGTCCAGGTCCTCCTGCAGGTCTGAGATGAGACCCTCCAGCTCCCGGATCTTCTTGAGGGCGTTATTCTTCTGAGCAATTTCATCGTCGAGCCTGCCAGGACAGGTCGCCGGAATGAAGATCCCGGGGCCCCAGGCCTCTGCCGTCGCACACGTGGCCAAACATTGTTTTCGGGAACCAGCCACTCGTGCTCCACGGATCGCAAAACATGTTGCACCCCGTCCCCAGGACACAGCGGATCCCTCCTTGCTACACTGGACTGCTTGGACATTCAC